AAGTTTGAATTCGTTCATACCAGACACTAGACAATAACATATAAAAACATCAGTTGATTTGAAAATGTCGACTAGCCATCCTTTGGTCGATCTTATCTGAAATCACCCCATAGAGCCTGCTTTGAAAAAGTGGCTCCGGTCTGTACTCGAGAGCCGAGCTAAAGGAGATAGCAACGCCGCCATTTCTTCCGCAGCGGTCACTCCGGAAACTGCACGGTTGCACGTACAGTGAAACCCATTTAGAACGAACCCACGTACAGCGAAATATTGTCGATATCGAACTCACGAAAAATTTAAATAAGAATGCATGTAAAAAGTACGTTTTATAACGAACAAAATATTGGCTATATCGAACTTTTTTCCCCGGAAAGTCATCCAAAACGCGCAAACAATAGTCTTCTAGCCCGCCCCTTCCCCCAAAAAAGAAGGAAAAAAAGGAAATTCCAAAAGCTCAAGTTCCGAACAAAATTGAGCGAAGAGAAGCGATTCAGAAGGGGAGAAGGCCAAAAAATATACTCTGCACGCACACACAGAAGAAAAAAAAAATACTTTTCAGCCCAAAACGTTTGCCCACGAAGAGAAGCGATTTAGAAGGCGAAATAAGCTTAAAAAACAAAACTCTGCAAGCATGCAAAAAAAAAAGGCTTTTTAGCGCATGGTTACGAGGCGGGAGTGATGAGAAAGAAAGAGAAGCTCTCGCTTTACAACAAACTCATCGTGGAAGCTCGTTGTAAATGTTTTTTTTTTTTTTTTTTTTTTTTGTTTTGCTATATCGAACTGATCGTAGTGCTTCCTGCTGTTCGTTATAAACGGGTTTGACTGTACTGGTTCGGGTCGAGTCACGCAAAGGCCAGTGGCGCCATCTCGCAATGTAATTTCGCAGTAGCTATTAAATCAACTTTCATGTTAGTAAGGAAGGAAGTCAGGTGGATCAAAACCCTATTAGAACAGGGCGGGAACTCGTGCGAGTGCCTCTGGTACCATAGTAAAATAATATAGAGTCATTGACTCGTCGCCAAAAGGGGGCGCTGTTATCGCATTTAGTCTGGTGGACGCGAGCGGTCCGGGTTTCAAGGGTGAGTTTCCCAACTGAGTGTTTTAGTAAGGTTGTCTCTGCTGCACTCGTCGAACGATTTAGAACGTGAAACGCCGGCGTCCGGCGTGTGGCTTCCGCATTCGAACGCGTTCGACGAGAGCGGTGGAACATAGCCTTCTATATACTGACAAAGCCTGGCAGATCGCCACGAGAAGCGGCCGCCGAAATGGAAAAGGGGGAGCGGAAAACAACAGAGAAGAGGAGAGCCACGTGACTGGCGACCCCCTGCGGCGAGACGCCGAAACACATTTCTCCCGAGCGAACAAGTGTGTTTCGGTTGCTCGGCGCTGAAAAAGCTGTGCGCTGACTGCAGGCTCCCCGAGAAATGCTCTGCGCTACCAGATCCTCGTGCTCCAAATCTGTGAGCGGGCACTGCATGGCTCCGTCGTCGAACTGCGAGGTTTTGTGAGTATAAAAAAGGCTATGGCAGTGGAGACAAAAGCAGTTAGCTAGCTTTAGGTCCACCAACCAGAGCTGGGCGTTCTGACGTTCTCGCGATCTCTCACCTCCTCCTCTCTCTCCGTTTCTCGGTGCACTGCTCCGCTCGAAACGTGATACCCAATCACGGGGAGGGCATCACGTGTCATTTTTGATGCCCAGCCATAAAAAGTTGAAACGATAATTGCACACACGTCGGGTACATGCAACGTATGCTCTTTTTTTTTTTCCTTGTATTTGCCGCCGCCCCCCCGGGGTAACGCAAAATGGAGCACGCTTTCTCCCTTCCGGAGCAGTTGCGCAATGAAAATGTTTGCCTCCGTTGCGCAAGGAAGGCTTGTGTTGCGCAATCGCAAAGCTCGCGGCGGGAGTGCGCGAACTGCTTCAAACGTCTTTCTGCGTTTGGTGTGCATGGCGGTTAGTGCGTGGTGCTTGGTGAGGTGCGGGCATTTCTGGACCGGCCATGCCTCATAAATGCTGTGTCCCTGGGTGCCACCCGAACTACGAAACGTCCTCGACGAAAGCGTCGGTATTTAAGTTCCCAAAAGATAAAGAACCGCGAAAAGCATAGGTGCGGCCGATCCCTCGTGAAAATCTGATGCTATCGACGCCAGGGTGAGAGCTTCCGTATATTTTTACATCGCATTTTTATTTCTTAATTACTTCGTTCAATTTTACGCCGACACGGCAGCGAAGCCGACAAGTACAAGCTAGCTCGCGCAGTTTGTTTTAGAAACTTATCTTTGTAGCGGAAACTCCCGTTTGCAAAACCAAAGTCAGGAGCCAATTTAGCCTTCGCCTGATGTCCCCTCTTGTTCCTATATCTGTAGCGCATATTAAGGAATCAATGTAATCTGTTTCACCGAACTCGGGCTGAGCTATGTCCTGCTGGGAAAGACACAGAATGATAATTCGAAAGACCGTTTCGGAAACTACCGGCAGCTGCCTGGCTCGCAATATCACGCATCTACAAAACAGCTCTACGAAGGTGAAAATAAGCTGCGACCGCAGAGTGCGTTACCGACAATCACGTGTGATTATGAGCGATGGGAGGAGATTTAACAGTCAAAGCCGTTTACAACTCCCTGTAACGCCGAATTAGAGCGCAGCTCTTGAGGAGAGGGTAGACCCCTCCCTCCTTCTCCTCCTCCCCTCATTCTTCAATATCCTCGGGGGGGGGGGGGGGGTCACGTGACCCCGGGAGGGAGGGGTCACGTGGCCGTGGGGGGAGTCACGTGACCCTTGGGGAGGAGTCACGTGACCTCGGGGGTGGGGGGGGGGGGTCACGTGATCTGGGTGTCACGCGACCTCGAGGGGTCATGTGACCCTCGCGGTTACGCCGACGGCGACGCCGTTAAAGGGGCGGTGCAACGATTTTATGATTAAAAGAATTTGCATCTCGTCATTTTTACGTTGTTTATCGTGTCCCAGAGAATAGAGAAAACACTTTTTTCATTAAAAATGTCGCGATTCCGCTGCATAATCGCAAAGCAAAACTCGAGCTTTTTCCCCTTCCTGCAGCCCCAAGCGGCAGCCGAAGGAACTACGGCGGAAAGATTACGTGACCTCGCTCGGCTCTAAGCTGCAGCCTAACGCCCGCTAATGCACACAGAGGGAGGGAGGGGAAGCGTCCTCCGAGATAGCACACGGGAAGCTACACGGCACTCCGAATGACGTCACTGGGAGTGCGACCAGGTGTGACCCTGAAGACTGGGAGTGAGTTGAGGGGTGCCCGAAATACCAATCTTTATCTTTTTTTTACGCAAAAACTAGGACACGCAGGCGAAATCGGTTTTCTGTTCTTTACTTCAGAAGTGTCAGGGGGCAACTTCCACAAATTTTTGACCGAAGTCCGAAAATCGTTGCACCGCCCCTTTAAAGCCGGAAACGGGCCCCTAAGAGCTGCGCTCTAAAAACCAGTCGACATGCCACGACCCAGTTGCAACATAGTCGTTGCAGAAGAGGAATTGTCCCAAGCGATGAATGAGACCCTTCGAGTCCTACATAGTCGTACCAGAATACGTAGTTTATGCCGCTTTGAAAAAGCTGGTGTCAGAAATGCGGGGCAGCGTGACCGCAGAAGACAAGACGGCTAGTTTCACTCGCGCAGGAGAACTGTTCTCTTGTCAACAAATTGGATCCAAGGGGGGCCTCTTTATCCAACTACGTTTCATCGTTAATGCCGTGAGACAGATTTACGTTGCTGCTCAAGAACTTTCCGAACCGGCGCCAGTTGGTCACGGAGCTCACAAAGGAACTACTCTCTACCAACGAGACTTCTGACTTCGACGCCTGTGGAGAAGCACACACAAGCGAACTCGTGCTGAAGCACTTGTTGTGGTGCAGCAAGAAGATCGTGCTGAAAAGCTATTGTGGAAGGGTGAGCGGCCAGTTCCATGAGTCTAATTCCAAGTCAAAGAAAAAAAATGTGAAACAATGAAATCTAATTTTTTTTCTATTCAACACAACAGTTGTAATAGCATTATCATTGTGCAACTGCATTAAAGTCTACATGCCGCACATGCGTTGTGTCTTAGTGTCACGAAAGCTACAAAAGCACATCTAAGATGATTTTGTTCAAATCGTGTCAATATAGATACAAGAAGGAAGTATGGATAGACGGGAAGATACAATTTGACGCTTTCAAAGGTGAAAAAACTTCTATTCAGCGCTTCTATTCGTAGTGATTGAAAGCTACAAGCTACAAAGATTGAAAGTAGTTCAAGTTTCGTTTATTGCCCTAGACAAAAGTCTAGGGCAATAAACGCCCCCCCTCCCCCGCGGCTCTTGGAAGTTTCATGGTTTTGTTCGCGGCCCTCAGGCCGGGTCAGCCTGGCCACCCCTACAATAGACCTTTCCGGAAAATCCCAGGAGGCCTCTCGTCGACCCCATATTGCACCGCGCGGCGCGGGGAATTGTGGGGCCGTTCAGATGTACGGACGTTCCGTACATCCTGGAACAAGCTCAATCCCTTCTCTCTCAAAACTGCGAGTTCAGAATACGAAGAAAACAGAGCGAACAGATAAGGTGCCCTGTTTTGCTTTCGTCTTGCTTCTTTTGCGTTCCGACATCGTAAAAATGTTGAACAAATGTAAACTGCCCCTTCCTATTTATGTGCGCTCTTTCGCGCGCCGTACATGAGCTTAAACGGCGCTTCTTTGGACGGTACCTGCAAGTTTTTGAGAGAGCTGTAGTCCAAACTACGAATCCATGGAATGCAAAGGTCAAGTTCCGAACTTATATGACAAAATGAGAGATAATATAGAGTTTGAATGGGTCATTCCGACATCTCCGATAACGCTACAGGATAACAATACGGCACGTGCGCAGAAAATCGGGGGAGTATGGGAATGATCCACTGAACTTCCCTAATAGAGATTCTGGGGACACAGAAAAAGTCCGGATCGTCCGGGAGGCGCTGCGTATTTCCGGACCTCTCCGAACTGCCGAGAAATATCCCTCTTACCTGTAACACACCAGGAAGTTCGTCAACCTGGAAGCGCTGCATGACTCACTGCGCTCGGCACTCGGGCCAGATGACGACGGTTCTACCAGGAAGCCGCGCGGTCGACGAACAGCCCCGCCACTATGCGACACCAAATGTGGGTATTTCTGCGCAGACCCTGACTCAGAAACAACAAGGTCGGAAGCGGCACAGAGCAATCGGGCGTTTCCCGTGTAATCCGCAACGCATGCCTCTCGACGATACCTTATCAGTTCCGGGCCGTGGCCAAAGAAATACACTTATTGTCTCGCTCTGCCTCTTAGTGCGTTTTCACGGCAACAACAATTATTGGCGAGGTTTCGGAGCAGATCCCGTTCGTATTTCGGACTTCCTCTCACCTAGGCTCCCAAAGGCGGCTTTGTTTCTGTTTTTTTTTTTTTTTATGAATTTAACGACATACATTAGTTTTGCTTACGAAATGTTTAGTTGTTAGTGATACGATAATTATTAGTTCAACAAAACAGATGCGCGCAATGCTTCGCCCGCGGCGTCAACTCCCTGTGACGTCACGGCATTACGTGAAGTCGCAGTGTCACGTGATTCTGCGGGACGCAAGTCCGCTAAATATAAACCCAGCAGTTGCGACCGCGTGCCGCCAACACCGGCCAGGAGACGAAGCGTGCGCATTGCGTCAACGCTAGTGGCTGGCTATACTTCATCTCACCTTAGCACGGACTAACTGCGAAGGCTGCGCAAGCGCGAGCGGCGAGCTTCGACTGGCCTTGACTGGAGCACTCGCTGCACGAGCTCTCGTGCAGCCGCCGAGGCTTCATCCAAAGCAACTAGCTCGCACTTTTGGCACGCGCGGCTAACAATAGTTCATGCTAAGGTGAGACAAAGTATAGTGCCATGCCCTGGCTAGTGTCATGTGGCTAGTGCATATCCCTGATTCGCCCCAAGCGGCAAAGACACTGAAGCTCGACCAGAGTACGACGCGAGCGGCAGAAGCGTGCGTCTTGGCGTCGCCGTTCTGAGACGCTGCAAGATGCGTTGGCGCGCTGCGTGGATGTGCAGGCGTCGCCTTCTAGGTGCAATCGGGTGCAGCAGCAGTGTGCAGCGTCTCGGCGATCGCAGCAGTACATATGTAGGACACGGCTGTCCGGAATCCTTGTTTTCGACCAGCGATGCTACCCGGATTATCCACGTCCGCGAAACAATGCTTTCGCCTTGTCTCGTGAATGACGAAACGCACACGCCTGGCGCCGATATCGTCGCATCGCCGCTGTTGGGGACTCCCGCGCTGGAAGAGCAGCTGATAACCGTGGAAGGTTTTCGGGCCCACGTAGTCTCGTATCGCGAAGAGCGTATCGAAACCCCTCGAAAAGGGCGTCTCTATAGTCTCTCCAAAACAATCGTGCTTTTCTTTTGTTCTGAGCGCACGTCACAACGACTCGTACGAGGTCAGCGATTGCGGAGGTGGAGTGATGGAGCGTTTCGCTAATAAGGGAAACCTAGAGCGTTATTATCGGAGCCGATGCGAGTATCCCCTTAATCTAGTTTCACGGGTTCTATAGGCCATGGGCAGTATCGAAGATACAAGTACCTTCGATACCATTTTTCGGTACATTGTATGTATCAGTATCAGTTATCACTTGCCAGAAAGTAATGTATCGGTATCAAAAATACATTTTTAGTGTGTCGTGTATTTTGACAATTTGATACCAAAAAAAAAGGCTGTGCCGCAGACTTTGAAGTTGCTGTGAGTCAGATTTTGTGCCAGCGGCGCTCCGGCTAGCTCGGCCTCTGTTGTAACACACACACGGACACACACACACATACACATACACACACACGCACACGCACGCACGCACAAGAAGCATTAGCAGTACGGCGATCGCAGACTGGGGTCGGTGAGGAAAAGGGGGTAATGTAAAATCTCCTGCCGCCACACATGTGTTGCCAAATCAAACAGTCCACTTTTTGTGTGTGCATTTCCGCGGCTGTAGCTATGGTTCAACGTTTTTCGCGCGCCGACAGTGGAGCCTAAAGAAATCCCTGGGGCCGGCTACAGTCCGCGGACAAATCTCGTAACTGCTGGTAATCATGTTACCAGCTTCATTAATATTGGCGATTTCAGCGATGTATCGACCATACAGTTTCGAAAATCAATTTTGGTTCTTTATCTTGTATCGGTATCGGAAATATAATGTTCAAGTGTATCGGTGACGAAGACACTCGTTTGAAGTATCGTGCCCAGCCCTCGGTTCTATCGACCAACCCACTGTCTACAAACAAGCCCGCGTTTGCCCACGCAGGGTGTGTGCGCAGAAACCAGATTCTGCCCGAGGCATCTGCGCATGCGCAGTGCCGACAGCAGCGCCACCGCAGTGGCGTGACGTCAGACACTTGAGTGACAGGTAGAGGTTCAGCGGAAGCTCCTCCCACCCCCTTCCAACTTAGGAAAGCGAACGCTGAAGAGTATGAAGTTCGCTCTGCCAAAGTGGAGAGAGGTGGGAGGAGCTTCTTCTAAACTCGTAACCTCTCACCGATCATAAGTAAATTAACGTCCCACAAAATCTATTTGGGACAAAGTAAAATATTAATGTGGATTGGGGATTAAATGTAGAAAGTCGGTGCTCGTTGCCTTACTTTTGTTTTTCTTTTTCAATCTAAAACAAGTATACGTTATATGTGGATTATCGTTTCACTTACTCTGCTCTAATTGAAAATTCCAGAATTTTTTTCAAGCATGTTTTTTTTTTACAATTTTGAATTACGACAAAACACAACTATATGTAAACTACGAAGTGTTCATAGTTACTTGAAATAATGCTCCGTACAAAGTACAGACTATGTGGAACAGGGTTCCTCTTTAATAAGCAAAACCTACAACTTCTATGTTTCGGCGCCATTTTGGCGCCGAAACAAATACGGCGGAAAGGGTTTCAGGGATTGAAGAAAATTTTATTGACACTGTAAACTGCAAGACGTAAATCACACCAGTATACAATAGGAACATGTACGCTACGGGGATACCAACTCCCATCTCCCAAGCGGACGCGCCGAGAATTACTACCGAAGTTGGGACACGCCCAGGTCGGAACGCGCTACCTCAAATCACCGGTGAGACACGGTTATATAAATACAATAACAATTGCATGCCGCAAAACCTTGTAAACTAAAGATTTTAGAAAACATATTGCACCTGCCATTTTGTACTAATCTCCAGTAACAGTTCCTACAAAAAGAGCTTTTTCCGATTGTTTTTACGCAAAAACATGTTTTCTAAAAGCTCATGGTGACCGCAGTAAAGAAAAAGATTGAGCCGCCATCTTGGCACCTCGAGCCTGGGAGTTTCGGCACTTTGGAAACATTCAGTGACTTGCATGAAGGGTGGCGCTGTTATCATATTTAATTTAAAGGGGCACTGAAGTCATTTTTGAAAAAGATCGTTTTTGATCTTATATTGTTTAAAAGGTGTTAGTTCTCGCGTGTACCAATCCTATATTACAAAACCGCCTATTCATCTAAGGGCAAGAGAAAAACATGTGGACTCTTTTTTTCTCGCGGACTACACTGTGTGGACCAATGAAAGCTCTACAATACGCGCAGATTCCGAATGATTTTATTATTAATAGTTTTGAAGAGAGTCTGATAAGTACACATTCGGAAAAGACTCCTCTTGTTCACTGCGGGCGAAGCCATCGTTTGCAACCCGCTGACAAGCGGCCTTCGTCCGCCACTTCACTCGGAAGAAAATTAATCCCAAAAAGGGCTTGTCGCGATCTTTGAACACGCTTTTAACGAAGAAATAAACTACGCAAAATTGCGATTTCGGGTTTGTTGAGATGCTAAGAGCGTCTAGATTAAGTTGTCAGCCCAAAAGGAGGATCTCAGAATCGACTTCGGTGCCCCTTAATTCAAGGCTCGGTCTCGGTGAACTCCGTTGACCCAGGTTTCAAGGTTCAGTTTCCCAACTGAGTGTTTTAGTAACGTTGGTTTCAAACGATAACAAACATGGCTGCCGGCGTCTGCGGAGTGATCAACCAGAGCAGCTCGTCGAGCTCGTCGATCTGAATGAGGTTGAGTCGTTCTGCCTTCAACGAGGTGTTTACACGTATACCTCCTCAACCGATCTACTTTGCAGCAAACAACTGTCGGTAGCAAACAACTGGCAGCAAGCAACTGTCAGGTGACGGGGCGCCAGTCACCTGACTCTCATCTCATCCCGTTGTTTCTGCCGCTCCACCTCTTCACTTTCGGCGGCCGCGTCTCGTGGCGATCTGCCAGGCTTTGACAGAAGAGAGGAGGCTTTGTGTCACCCACCTTGCTCGCGGATGCCATTCAAAAAAAGAACAAAAACAGAAAAGCTGAAAGAACATTTTTTGTTGATTCTTTTTTTTGGTCCTTTCGGCCACTTTTTACCGTACTTCGACAGACGCTGACAGACGCTTGTTTGGGACCTTGGTCCGTCCATACGGAACGTTAGAACGCCGCTTTCGTGGTCGCGTCTTGCAAGCGTTGCAGCTGTTTTTAGACGGGGCGGAATAGCAGACAGACGAAGGCGAAAGCGGACGCCGACGCGTAGCTTTCATGCCCGCGTCTGTGCGTGACAGACGACGATAGACGGTGATGCGGAATAGCAGACGATGCCGAAAGCTGCCACGCGTCTGCTCGCACGACTAGCAGGCGGTGTCAGACGTCTAGACTAGACGCACCGGATTTCGGGAAAATGGACACAGTAGGCTTCCGAGCATGTTCTTGCCGAGCAGCCGAGCCAATCCAGTAATAATAAAAACGGGGCCACTGACCTGTGGGCGGGGCTTAGAACGGGCCTTGATTTCCACCTAAATTGCGTCTAATTCCACAAAAAAAACATTTTCATAAAAAATATGAAAAAAAAAAACGTGTTTTAGGTACGCTCTAATTTTTTTTTTTTTTTTTTTTCACTTCAGTGTTTTTTTAAGGCACATAGTATAGCCCGAGTAGAGTGCTGTAAGCTGCTTAATTTTAGCGAGGACCCAAGTTCCGATACTTAAAAAATATCACGAATAAATCGCCCCATAGTAAGAAATACACGAGTAGTATAGAAAATGAGAGTTCTAGATCATTCCCCATTCCCCCGAACTTGACCGTTTCAAAGAACAAGACATTTAAGACGTCAGACTGTTATGATAAATAGATAACACCATATCTTGTTCATAAATCGTTCCCAGTATATCTTCTTTCTC